TTCCTATTGTAGCCCAGCTGGGTCTCAAACTCATGATTCTTCTGTGTGAACCTCTGGAATGTTGGGATTGCGGATAGATGCCAGGGTGCTCATTTTCACTTAGCTTTGTTTTAGGCAAAAGAGAGACCCTATTGGCTGGGTCAAAGATCAAAAGACAGGCAAGTCTGGAGGAGAAAGGATGGGTTCCCCGAGGGGTCAGGAAGAACAGCCAGGTGGGGGATGTCCAGGGGGACGTCCCTATGAGGGTGGGCTGCACCGGTCTTGCTGTCCCTGGCCCTGACTCCAGATCACAGGCAGCTCCCTATGAACTGTCATGTCCAGCAGGAACATGTCTCTGGTAAGAGGATGTTCGGGGTCCCAGGCCTGCCAAGGCAGGCAGCTGGACTCCAGGCCGTTACCCAACCTCCAGCCTCTGGCTAAGCATGTCTTCTGTCATCTGGTCAGATGTGTGCCTGGGTGCCAAGTAAGTTGGTTTCCTTCTACACTCACCACCTTGCCCCTTCAAGGCCCATAGGTGCCAGGCCTCTAAGATGACTTTACCTGAATCCCTGCCCTAGGACACCCTATGAGGGATAAACCCTCATCCTCTTCTTCGGACCCTGGGGAAAAGCTTCAGTTTATATGAGTAGCCATTCCCAGGTTGTGGATTTCTTGGGGAAAGACATAGGTGAGTCATGGCCACAGCCACAGCCACAGCCACAGCCGCATCCTGGCCAGCAAGCAGAAAGAGTAAGTGGCTGAGTATGCCTCCAGGCAGCCTTTCCTGACTAAACTTTAGGGCCTGGGATTAGCTCTGGTCAGCACCCGTTCTCAGTCCCAGAAGTCAGGAAGCCCCTCACATGTCAGATACAATCAAAATGGTTGCTCAGTCCTGTAGACTCTGAGGTCTGAGAGGCCCAGGGAAGAAAGGATGCCATGGGTCAAAGACTCTGTGACAGGGTCTGAGGGCCCCCACCCACCCCATCTCATTGCACTATAAACAAGCAAGCTGTAGAGGTGTTTGTAGGAGCATCCAGCTGGCCTGAAGGGAGCAGGGAAGGGCATGAGTACTCTCGCCAAGTGGAATCTGGCCCAAATCTCAGCTTCTGCCAAGACTTCCGTCACTGGGGACTCGCCTGGATTCCATCTGGGATGGGCAAATGGGGTGGTGAGAGAGATGGCTGTGGCGATGTGAGGTCAGACCTTGACTCTCAGAGAGCTCTTTAGGCCTGCTAGAGTCACCTGATGGGGGGAGGGCACCATGGGCCTGGTGACCAGGGAGGATGGAAGGGGCCCAGGGACCTTCCTGTCTTGCCGTGGACCATGCCAAGCCTCTGATGAGGAGGTCTAGACTGGAGACCACATAATGATGGTACTCATTCTCCTCAGCTGGGTGTTCAAGGAGGCAAGAGAGTGTCTCAGCTCTCTCCAAGCTCACCACCACCCACCAGACTTACCACCACCTACCAGGCAGACCATCACCCACCAGGCAGGTGGTTCTCAGCCTCTTCCTAACCCTGCACAACTCTAGAGCTGCCCTATTTATGTTTCTGGACACTTTGGGCAATGTTTGCTGCTGTCTCCTTTGGGCCACTGGGAGGATCTATGTCTTTCCTATACAGGCCCACCGGGAGGTTCACTTGTGCCTCCAGAAGCTGGTGAGATGCTTAATGGGCTCTTGGACTCACTATGACTTCAGCTGTGTCCCAGCCCGCCTCCTAGCTCTCTACTCGTTCTAGAAACCTCACACTGTGGGGGACACTTGGAAGGAGGCCTTCCTATGATTGATTCTGTTTCTAAGCTGCCTGGGCTTTCCTCTATGTGCTGGGTAGTTTTATGTCAACTTGACATAAGTTAAAGTCATTTTGGAAGGAAGATCCTCAACTGAGGAAATCCCAGCCCCATACCAAACACACACACATTCCTAATTGGCTTGTGGACAAACCTGCGGTGCGTTTTCTTGATTAATGATTGCTGTGGAAAGGCCCAGCTCACTGTGGCCAGCCCTGGACAGGTGGTCTTGGGGTACATAAGGAAGCAGGTTGAACAAACCATGAGGAACATGTCAGTAGGCAGCACCCATCCATGGCCTCTGTATCAGCTCCTGTCTTCAGGTTCCTGCCCTGACTCCCCTTAACATTAGACTACAATGTGAAACTGAAAACTGAAATCAAATCCTTTCCTTGCCAAGTTATTTATGGACATGGTGTTTTATCATAGCAATAGGAACCCTAAGACTCTAGCCAGGCTATGACCCACTGGTCAGAGAGAAAGGAGCTCTGGCCTGGGAGAAAGGCTACCTCCCTCAACATCCCCTGCCTCTGGGTCCCGGCTCTTCAACACCACGTACAGAAACCCTGACCTCTGAGAGACCTCAGTGTTCCAGGCTTTCCTCCTGTCCATCATATGGGGATCTCAGGCCTGCCAATCTTGGGCCCAACCAAGTTCCAAGGGTGTCACCTTCTTAGATGAACTGAGAATTGGGAAGGGTCCTGCAAACTGGAATGCTCTGAGAAGCGGGCTTCCTCATGCACACTCCTGTTCCCAGGGCAGGGCCTAGGGAAGGAAACTGCCTTTTGCATCTCAGGACCTTCGGCCCCTCTCTTCCTTTGCAGTCCCTCTCTCAAATGAAGGCTCTAACGCTGGGCTTCATGCTGGGATTCTTTAAAAAAATAATAAAAAGATGTAATTTGTAAAATTATCTATATGCATAGGTTTGTGCACGAGTGTAGACTCCCATGGGGGCAAGAAGAGGGTCCCCTGGAGCTGGAGATACAGGGGGCTGTGATCCATCTGATATGGATGCTGGGGAAGAGAACTGAGGTCTTCTGCAACTGAGTACATGCTGTAACCACTGGGCAACGTCTCTAGTCCTTCCCTGAGATTCTTCTTGCTCTGCGTGCTTGCTTGCTTCACCTAGCTTTCTTGGGGACTTGGGTGGAGGTGATCAGGATGCCCCTAGGGAGTCCTGTCCCCTACCCTGATCCGCCTCTGCAGGACCACTGCCCCCTAGTTCTGAAGGTGAAGTGAGGTGGCATGCTAAGGGCAAATTAGTCCCAGGTGGGATGGCACCTGCTCTAATCCCGCTTGGTCACACCTGCAGGGCCCCATGCTCTGCTCCCTGCACCCGAGGCTCATACATTTCTTGTTCATTTCTGAGTATGGTCTTTCGGGAGCATTCCCTGGAAAACCACTGCTGCCCTACTTGCAGTTGTCCCCATGTCCTGAGCCCTCAGGGGCCAGGTGGCCCTGGGATTTCACACACACACACACACACACACACACACACACACACACACACACACACACACCTACCAAAGGGGTACAACTTCACAGGATACCATAGGAATGTCTGCCTGAGCCGTGGAATACCCCAGGCATTCCCTGGCCTCACCCTTCTGCCTTTCTTTATATTTAGTTGTAAATAAGATATGGACACATAAGACACTCACTCATAACACTGCTCATCTTTTTTCTCTATTTGGCATTTTTCTCTCCCATGTAGAATGAAGTAGTGTGGGTTGGCTCACTGATGGGCTACTAGGCTGGAGGGAAATGTTTCTAGGAGTCTACAGGAAGGTCAGAACACTGCAGGAGTTTCTGAGCTCTCCCTGACAAGAGCTTTCCTTTACATTCTGAAGGCATCCCTGCTGTCTGCCTGCAGCCAAGCAATGGGATTACTTTATTCACTGGCTCCAAGGTGACACTTCACTATTTTAAACAAGAGACGACCTCCTTTGAAGGCGTCCATCCACATCCACCCCGACACCACCCACTGCAACCTCCGCTGCTTCTGACCTGAAGCCCTGCTTACTGCTCACAAAGAGGGATTTTATGCCTGGGAGAGACAGAGACAGAGACAGAGAGAGGCAGAAGAACAGGGACAGATAGAGATGGAGAGATAGGAACAGGGACACACAGAGAGAGACAGAGAGACATAGAAACACAGAGTCTGATCGATTATAGAAGGGGGAGGGCCTTCTTGAGAGGGACCCAGTTGCCAATTTTAGAAGCAGCAATAGTGGGCAATTCTGCCTCACCCAGTTCACCACCAAGGAGGCAATGATTCTTTACCACCCTAGGCTTGATTCTTCAAGGAGAAAACATCACCAGAACCTTTCACCCCGATATTTATCAACCCAACACTCTGTGAAAGAGATGGGAATTTGGTTTTTTTTTTTTTCTGAGAGAAGAAAGATCTGGAGAATAGTACAAGGTGAGTAGACGGGACAATTTACTGTGAGAGTACAGTCTATAAGTAGGTGGTTTGCCTACACAGAGAGCAGCCTGTATCCTTCTCTTAGCTAGGCCCACCCTTCAGGAGAGGGAACTAGATCGTGCAACCGAAGAGAAGGGCATCTCCTATATCCCTCACCAGCCCTGGTCCCTGGGTGTCACTGTTTCTACAGGGTCTTCCGCACCCACACACCTGAACCAAGGGGCTGGGTACACACAGCCCACTTGCTCACCCCATGCCCGCCCCTGCCAGTCTTCTGAGAGGAGAGTCTTTCCTAACAGCAAATCTGTCACTGACAGGTCCAACTGTAATTCGTGTGGGTGGCCTACGGGGGACATGGTTCTCAGCCTTGCCTAAAATCCGATCCTACCATCTACAGCTCCCTCCTTCAGCCCAGGCCTCCATCATGAAACTTGGAGGCTAACCCCATCCATCATGCTAGTCCAGACCTTGGCTTGCTCTCTCATGGAATTTTCAGCACTAACACTGGAGCATTCCTGGGCAAACTGGTCGCCATGGTGTCATTTTCTTTTAACTCTTTCTGAGCCTAACAGGTGGGTCCCATACAGACAACCTTATTGACTCTCCATCCCATGCCGTGTACTCAGTACTTTGTGTTCCACAGGAAACTGTTTTACCCTTGTATTTCAGACACAGCTCCTATGGATCCAGAGACACCACATGCCACCCCACAATCTTTGGGAATCAAGCCCTCTTCCTGACCTAATCTCACAAGAGTCTTCCTCTTGACCTCTCCACCTCCCTAGGCACTGGCATCCCATCTCCGAGTCGAAGTGCAAGGCCCCAGAGCAACCCTGAATTGCAGTCCAAAGCATTTCCATGTATAGATCAAGAAAAGCAGCTGGGCTGCCTGCCATCTCGTAGCTGGGGTCCTCGTGACTGTCCCCAGGCCTCCCACAGATCCTCACCTCACCCCACTGTGTCCCCTCCTGGTGTTTTGCACCCCAAGTGTCACAGACTCCATTCTCTTTGTGTAAACATCTTAATTACATCTTTAATGCTCTCACACGTGGAGATGCTGTGAGTTAAATTACAGCTCTGTGCATCCTAAATTACTCACAGCCCTCCAGTTGCTCAAGCGCTAACATATTTATAGCATCTAGAGGCAGGGATAAAACCAGAACCATCCCCATGGGATCCTCCTAGCCTCTCACCTCCTGACATATGGTATCTGCCCAACGGCATATGTGCCACCCCCGCATCCCCTCTAGCCAGCAGAGGACAGCGATGCTGGTGAAATGGGGGACACGTCTCTGTGCATGCTCCTGTGTGCGTCCCAGTGGAGAAAACTGCGATCTCCTCTGCCCAGAGGCTCCTGGTACCAGTGTCACACCTCTAAGATGTAGAGCGAGACCAATGGCAGAGTCTCCTTCCACATTCCATGAACACTGAGTGGCCCTTCCTGCATATAGGATGGAAGGGAAAAACTAAAACCAGACTGGGTTTCTTAGGTCTTTTCCTCTAAGGGTGATTTCTTCCAGGCAACAGTAACTTTTCCTGCTAGCTTCTGGCCTGTGACTGCCCTTAGACCAAAGGCTTCTCCCAGAACCCCATGCTGGAAGAGAGCCATTTCCTTAAGCAGATCAGACCAGCTTTTTGAGCCCACTGAAGAAACAGCGGACAGAGGAACTCAGCATTGTCCCTTTTCCATGTAGCCCCGAGCACTGAAGGAAGGGACGCAGCGTATGGTGGCAACTCCCCTTCATTCCACAGGCTGGGAGCCGGCTTGCAAGGTGGAGCCGGAACACAAGGCCTCTGTCTTACTCCTGTGCTGGAACAGGTACATGTCTGTGTGCAGTCCACTCATGAACATTCATGAAGCCTTTCTCCACGCCTGGGGGAGTTGCACCTTTGCATACCCTGTCTCCCAACTTCCTTTCCCTCAGCCACCTTGGCTGCCAGTGTGTGTGGCTGGGAGACTTCATGCTTACCCACTCCCCGTACTATCTTAACTATGAACAGCTCCTGGGGTTGTGTAGCCCTTTCCCTGGCATCCACTGGGCATTCCCAGCTCTGTCTCTGGGCCTCCTGGGCCTATAAATGGTGTTGCTCTTGCTGGATGTGGTGGCCCACACCTTTCATCCCAGCACTCGGGAGGCAGAGGCAGGTGGATCTCTGAGTTGGAGGAACAGAAAGTTCCAGGCCAGCCAAGACCCTGTCTCAAAAAAAAACAAACGACCAAATAAACCTTCCCAAACGGTGTTGCCCTGCAATGTTCCTGTCATCTGGGGGTTGGTTTGTATCTCTCTACCCAAGAGGAGGTTCCAGGCTTTAAAAAAATTAAAAAAAAGCAATCCTAGATAGAGGAGAGCCTTCCTGTTTTCTCCCTCGCCGTTCAAGCTTGTGCCCCTTCTCCCCATCAGAGAAGCAGACCTTGATGTGAGGGTTTTTGGCCAGGAGACCAGGAAGCCAGCAGTGGCTCTTTGTCTTCCTGCATGAGGGCTGCCTTCTGTGCCAGGGCCATCGGTTCAGGAGAAGTCAGTGGCCAGATGGCGAGCCTAGCCAGAGGTCTCTCTTCAAGCCTGAGAGTCGGTAGGTGGGGCCTCAGCACGGCTGGGGTCTGTTTCAGCCCTTTCCTGTCTTGTGGGTAGCAGTGGCTCGGGTCCTGAGAGGAGGTCTTGACAGCCAGGAAGTGGGCAGCGCTGCTGGCACTGTGGCAGGTGTCTTTGTCAGAGGTCCAGGCCTGTTCTCAGGCCACTCACGCGTGGATGGCATTGGCTACATCAGTAAACACCAGCCTGCTAGGCCTCTGCAGTGGGCCTTGGGAAGGGAGAGTGCTCTGCAGGGAGACAGGCAGGGGCATCAGAAACCTTGACCAAAGCCAGTCTCTGGTCCAGTCATCTCCACCCTCATTTCCTGCTACCTGCTTTTGCTTGGCGTCAGCGGTGCCTTCTGCCTACAATGCCCTCCCACCAAGCTCAGTCTAGAAATGTGCCCTGGCTCCGATGACTCCTCCCTCTCCCAAGCCATTCCCAGCTTGCCCTGCACCTTGGCAGCACTTACTATGGGCTTTGTATTGAATTAATTATGCATGTATTCCTTTCTGCCAGCAGGAAGATCTCACCTCTGGCCCTCTTCCCCTCAGGACAGGGGCAAACATAAGGATGGACCACGGACAGGCCTAAGCCCTTTGTGTACTCTGGCTTTTGAGGATTTGGGAGAGTGGTAGCAGTCAGGTTGCCTGATGGCTCTGGCAGGATAAGGATAAGGGTGAGAAGGTGTGTTTGGCTTGGGTCTGTCTCCACTGCCCCAGACTGTCAGGGACTAAGATTCACCAGCCTACTCAGAGGAGCCTCTGCTGAAGATCCTGAGCCCACTCACAACTCACTCAGGTCCATGGATCCTCATGGACCAGAGAAACCCGAGTCCTTGACTCTGTCAGTCTTGCCTTTAGTTTTTGCTTGTTTGCTTTTCTGCTTTCCCAGGCAATGCATGAGGGTTTACAGGGCAAGATTTAGGATTAAGTAGATGAGAAAACTAGGCTCAGTGATCCCAACTAGGCTTCCAAGATCTCCAGGCTGTCAGAGACCAGCCAGGCTGGATCCCACAAGGCCTGGCTGTGCACAGTGAATCTGTGAGGGCCATAGGACAATTCCAGCAGTTTCTACACAAATATGAAGAGACCCATATACTCAAAGCTTCCACCTCAGCACCTGGCAGGGGCTGGAAAAATGCATGGAAAGGATGGAAGGTGGGTTGCAAGAGACAGGAAAGCTCCAGAGTGGGTAGGAAAACCGGCCAGTGCCCACCTTGCCCTGTGTGGCCTGCAGGGAGGCAGCAGCCTGCATGGAGGCTGCATCTCGCCCATGTTCCAGTAGCTCCTGCTCCAGTTCATCTTGCTCCTCCGTGGGGTCAAAGTTGTACATAGGCATGAGCTGGTGGCGTAGCTTCTCCAGCCTGGGGGAGGACAGGGGCTGTTTGTGGGTAGGCCACCTTCAGTCCTGGTGGCCAAGGGAGACATTCAACAAGTTTAAGGTACCCTAAGTCTCCCCTCAGGATTTGCTGACAGACATCTTTGAACCTATAGTACCAATATGACTCTTAAACCGGTAGCTTTAGAATGAGCAACTAGCGGTTCCTGGGTCTGGCTATAAGATCTGTGGGGGCTGCCTGGGCCAGGATTCTCCTGCAATCCTAGCCTGTATGGACTGAGGCAGAGGAAGAGAGCCAGTGGCAGTTAGCTTAATACATCAGGGCAAGGGTAGCTGGGTGGTGATGATCCCTACCCTTCTTTTCTTCCTGCCACACCCCATCCCAGTGCTGGGCCTCTTTCTCCTTTCTCACTTGTACCCCTGGGTCTCAGCCCAGCCCTTCCCAAGGGCTAAAGCTTCAGGAACCATCTGGGGAAATTACCTCTTCTTCTTCCTGATGTATAAAACCTGCAAGAGAAGGAACAGCATCAGACGGAGAGAAACGGAGATCCCCACCAAGCCAGCATGCCCTCATGGTGGGGGAACTGTAGAGGATGAAACGTGGACCACTCGTGGGTCCCCACCCCATACAGACATCTCACATGTATGCTTCACGTTCACTCCATCCCCTGCCTTGATAAGGTCTCACTATGGAGCCCAATCTTGCCTGGAATTCCCTTTGTAGCTCAGGCCAGCCTTGAACTCTCCATCCTTCTGTTTAAGTCTCTGAGAGCTAGAATTACAGGCCTGCACACCACACCTGGCTACTATGATATCTTCAGATGCCAACAGATCCCAGACTGAGTCTGGAGACTCAGAGATGGGCCAGGCACAGGAAAACTAGTTAGGCCTGTCTGGAATTGACTGTTTCCACTCTCTAAATCCTGACTAACCACCCACTCAGCATCTGCCTGGAACTCCTAAGTGCTGAAGGGGAAAGGGAGGACTTTGGCATGTCCCTTCCAATTTTCACTGAAGCCACCTATGGGCAAAATGAACGGCAGATCAACAATTGCCAGTCTTCAGAGCAGTGGCTCCAGGCAATGTTCTACACATCTGAGCCCCAGGGTTACCCCCTCAGAACTCTGATGCTAAGGGATCCTCAGAAGTCCCTGGGTCCCTCCCTTCCTTGTCCAGACACAAAAGTAAAAGGTTGACAATTAGATACTACAGAACTCACCAGCAGGAGTGGGAAGCCTTGGCACCAAGCACCAAAGAGGTAGAAATTAGGGATATTTGGGAGACCACGCCCGGGCAGGGACTCCACGGACTGCTGCCACCAGCTGCTCTTCCCCAAACTGACAATTTTTGAATATCAAGAACATGACAGCCAGGTGTAGTCATGAATAACTTTGATCCCAGCACTTGGGAGGCAGAGGCAGGCAGATCTCTGTGAGTTCGAGGCCAGCCTGGTCTACAGAGTGAGTTCCAGGACAGCTACATAGTGAGATCTTGTCTCAAAAAAAAAAAAAAAACAAAAAACAAAAAACAAAAAACAAACAAACAGCTTCTGCTTGGGGAAAACCACATCCTCTAGTTTGTCCTAAAGTCCTGTGGCTCCCTCCATTTATGTAACCAACTCATAGCTTATATCTTGTTTAATTCCCAATCTGGCCAACAGCTTTCCCCGTGTGATCTCAAGTGGAAAAAAGCTCACGTGTCCCCAGATCATCCACTTGCTCCAGGGAGTGACTCCATGCTGTCCTATGGGTAGACGGAAGCGGAGGAGAAGCTCAGGTCTCCGAGTCTTTCCTAGCCTCCTTCCACTCTGAGCTCCCAGCCACCCTGAGCTCTTGCACCCTGGCCTCGTGGCTCTTGCTCCAAATCTCCCCGCTTCCCTGAGGCCTGTGACTCAGGATAATCTCAGGAAAAGCAAGCCAGAAACTCCATCCAGCTTGCATGCCTTTGCCCTGCAGCCTCTCCGCCTCAGCTGAGGACACACTTCTACTTTCTCTGCCTGTCGCTGTCCAGCCCCGCATCTGACAGGAGGTGTTCCTGCTCTGCTCCTCCCTGACCAAGCTCTTTTCACACCCACTGGCACCCACTCACTCCGCCATGCGCCTGTGGCATGGCTCAAGGCTGCCACAAGGGGGAAGGAAGAGGCACTCGGGACATTTCTAGAAGTCTTTCCCTTGTGCCTTGGAGTCCTTTCCTGCCCTCCAGTCTCCTTGTCCTACCACCCTCTGCCCCTCTACCTTCGGTGGGAAGGTCATCCACTGGCCTGAATGTCCCTTGGGGACAAAGAGCAAGGCAGCCTTATCAAATTCTTATGTCAAAATCTTTTGCTTAGAATTGAGACAGACTCTAAGCCACTTGCCCCTGAGGTTAGGGTGTCTCAGGCTGTTTTAGCTGAAGGGACACACTACCATACTTCCTCATTCCTGCCCCAGGGAAGCTCTCCTTCCTGGCTTCCCTCTGCCTGTGATGCACCCTGGCCCTACTTGCTGGCCAGTAGTTGTTCCCTGGCATCCATCCGGAGCCTGCCGGGCCCATATGGCAACCCTAGTTTAACACTAGCTCTAGCTAGGCCTTGGATGACGACTATCCCTGCCTTTTGTGAGTGTATGTGTTTTGTGTGTGTGTGAGAGTGTGTGTTGTTTGTTTGTTTGTTTTTAGCCCAGTGCTGGAGATTGAACCTAGGACTCTCTCTGCACCTGCTCTGCATGCACTTGAGCACTGACATACATCCCCAGTGGCCCGTCTAGCCTTGTTTGTCAGACCCACCTGCTCCTGAGCTTAAAGCTAGCCGTCCATTGCCTGAAAGGGACAGTGGGCAGAATGCCTTCTGGGACACTCCAGGTGCACCCCACTTTCCTTAGTCTTGACTTGTACAGTCTCTAGTGGCCCTTTAGTGGTATTCTTTGTGTCTGTCACTGCTGGGTACTTACAGTGTTCTAGCTCCCTTTTGCTCTGATGGCTACCTGCCCCTTCTTGTGACAATGAGGTCAGCCTCCTCCCTGGAGTCAGAGCTCTAATGTCTCTGACCACCCATCCCACATAAAACCCCTTGCCTATTAAACCATTCTTCATAAGAAACACAAATCACGGCCTCTCTCATCTCTTCTGGCCCTGTTGTGTCCCAAGGGTAAAAAGGATAGTCAGTAAATACTTGCCAAATGAATGCATACGTGAACTGCTATGAATAAAGCATCCCACCCAGTTCTGCAACCCATGAAACAGCCGCCCACATCTGGCCTCTCCTGTTACTGAAATTCCCACACTCCTTTGCTTCACTGCCCTGTTTGCTGCTCACAGGACCTCTCCTACCTGCTTCAAAAATCTGCCTATCGAGATCCTGTGCCGTGACCCCTCCCCAGTCCCAATCTTATATGCAGGAGCTCAAAGTACCATGTATTATTCAGATGTATTTCTGGCTCTTCCAATTAGAATTGCTTACGTGGGCCCCAGTAAATAAATTTGGGGGGCGGGGAGATGGGAAGGAGTTGCATTATCATTAATAGACAATTGTCTTCTAATTAGATTGTCTGTAAGTCTAAACACTAATCACCCTCCCGCAAAGGACAGCCTTCTCGGCCTTCTCCAGCTAGCCCCAGCTCTCACCATGGCCACAGCCAAGCCAATCACTGTGATGATCCCAAAAGACAGAAGCATGGTGCCCACACCAGCCGCACCCCCTGCCATATCAGGGATTCTGGTGCCATTGAAGCTTGTGGTTTCTGGGCTGAGGGTAGCGGTCTCTGTGGTAGACCCTTCAGTGGCAGGTTCCAAGTCAGGCTCAGTGGTAGGTGGGGGGCCACTGAACCAGCTCTGAGTAGCTGGGACCCTGGAGTTCATTCTGCTGCGGGGAGACAGACTGTCAGTGCTCAGTCAGCCTTCCTACTGACTTCTGATGTGAGAAGCATCCAAGGCTGAAGCTCCCGCCACTGTGATGACCACCGGTACAGTCAAATCCTTATCAGGAGACCCCTGCCTCCCTGGGTTCTAAAAATGCAAGAATAAAAGCAAGAGTTACCACCCAGGGCATGACCAGAGATAAATCCCTTGAGAACCGGAAGGCACTGAGGAAATAAAGGCTTCAAAAGAGACCTAAGTCAAGTTCGGGGAGTATTAGGGCCCAGGCTTTGCCCATGGTTCCCATATGGATGCAGGCACATGAAAAATATGATTATATTGATCATACATGGAAAATGGGAGAAGATGCAGATGCCCTAAACGGAAAGTCTACCCCCTGCACAAATATCTCTGCACTCTCTTTTTCTCCTGTTCCTACCTCCTCACTCCTACACCCCACACATCCCTCACCCTGCTTGGAGGGAAAAAAAGGGCAACCTTTTCCTTCCTTGAAGGGAAACCCTTGCCTAAGATTCAGACAGACCTGATTTTGAATCCTGGGCTCAATGGATCACCCCAGGCAAGTCACCCCTTTTCTCTGTATCTACTTTTTTTTTTCCCAATATGGAAAATGTTAAGAGCAACCCCATGAGGTTGTAGGGTTACATGAGGTTGTAGGGTTAGTGGTGTGTTAGAATGAATAAATTGGGGGAGGGGCTTAGCTGAACACAGGGCCTGTCCACAGAAGGCACCCAGTCAACGTTCTAAATCCCCATCACTACCAGCAACAAGCCAGGAGGAGGAGGGCACAGGAGTCACTGGACCTGTGTGGCCCAGGCTGTGGTTAGAGCTAGGGTGGGGCTGGTGTGGAGTCACCACAAGACAGGAAGGATAGACTGAGCTAGATCCTGTGGCACTGGACCACCTCCTTCCACTCCGAATAGTAAGGCAAGGGGTTACATCTGGAAAGGCAGTAAAAGGAATGCCCACTTTGAAATGCCTTCTCCGGTTTCCCTCCTATTTTGGAAGCAGAGGGTGGGAGACCACTCAGCCCTGTGGGTCTTAGGTAAAGCACGGTGGGAAGGAGTCCTAGCAGGTGGTGCAGAAGGGCAGACTTAGAAAGAAAGGCTCCTTAGTTTATGGCTCCATGCATGTTTCTCTGTGTGGCTCCTAGGTGTGCATGGGATGCCTCCTCTTGCAGGGCCAAGATTATGTGTGAGAGGTGTGCACATATCCATCGTGGTCCCTTAGGAAGGAACAAAGCTGGAAGAGGGTCATGCATGGAGTAGACTTACTCCTTCCTGTCCTCTCCAGCTTGGCTCAGCAAGAAGTCTCAGGTTTACTTCTGGGCTCTGCCACTCATCCCAGCGTGACCTTGGACCAGACCCTTAACTTGCTCCGAGTCTCGGTTTATTATGAGCCAAAGGGAGAGAAGGCATCCTGCTGACTATTTTCTTGGCCTGCCTCGGGGTCCAAAGGGGAAGGGTGAAAGTGGTGGGCACCGCGACCTCCAAGAAGCTGCATGCCATTCTCCATCGGGTCTCTCAGTCCTCCCAGCCTCAGTCCCCACGCCCGCCTCCACGACCCTGTGATTCCTCCATTCTTGCTCAGAAGCAGCCGATCTCAGGCACTTACTTAATCCTCTCCGGGACGCGGAGCTCAGTCTGAGAAGCTAAAGGTGGTAGCGACGGACGGGCGGGAGACGTGGGCAGGGGGGAACACCCAGGCCTGGGCGTTGGGGGTGACCCAAGGTCCTCCTCCTCTGAACGCACGGATCAGCTAGTATTAGCCGGCGCCGGCTGACAGCCTCGGGTAAGGTGGGCTGGGCCCGGACCACGGAGGGGGTGGGGCTGAGATGAGCAGCCTCCGGGGATCCCCAGGAGCCGGAGTGCCTTGCTCCCGGCCCCCTCCGCGCCTCCGGGCTCTGATTGGGTGCCAAGCCTAAAACCCAGCCAGCATTGGCCAACTCGCCTGTCACTCGAATATAGCTCCGCCCCTAGCGGGAGACGGGAGCTGAAACCCGACTGCCAAAAGAGATTCTCAGAAGACACCTCTGACCCTGATGGCCTGCCGGAAGTTGGGCAGTGTGCCATAGGTGACCAGACCCTTTCTGGACCAGAATTTGGGCTTCTGGACAGCTCCGCTCGCACTGGGACAGACTTATAAGCCAAAAATGCATAGGCACAGAGGTTTGGCGAGAGCTTTATACTCCGAGTCTTTGAAGCCTACATTGAACTCTGGCTTAATCCTCTACTGAGTTTATGTCCTTGGACAACAAGCTGCTTCTCTTCCCTTTGTGTCCGCTTCCTGTTTAGATAGGAACTCTGATAAAAAAAAAAAAAAAGGCTTTTTTTTTTTTTTTTTTTTTTTTTGGTAAATGACTACAACTATGGAACTTATGGGGCTATACATGGAGAATCTTCAGTCCAGAGATGTTGGAAGCAGAATGGAATTATTGAATTATTTAATGGCATTATAAATTGTGTGCCCTGACCCAAGCAAGCCTACCTATACCGCTCATAATAACTTTTATCCACAGCAAAATTCATTTCAGGACAGAGATACTAATTCCCTCTACTCCAGAGTTATATCCCTAACCCTTTAAAACCACGCCCCCATCTCCTGTCCTCTAGATAATAAGGTAGCACACTGTTGTCCAGGATGGCCTGATACATGTAGCCCAGGCTGGCCTTGAACTGAGGCAATCCTCCACTTCCTAGGTACTGACTAGGACTTTTAATTTTAATTGATTTTTATGTGTAAGGATGTTTTGTCTGAATGTATATCTATGCACTATGTGTGTGCCTGGTCCCTGAGGAAGCCAGAAGAGGGCATTGGATCTTCTGATACTGGAGTTATAGGCTGCTGTTAGTTAGCCTCTGCATGAGTGCTGAGAATTGAGTCTAGGTTCTCTGGAAAAGCAGCCAGTGCTCTTAACTGCTCAGCCATCTTCCCATGCCCCATTGTACTGGGATGTATAATTGTGCACCAGTACACCTAGTTCCCAGCCCTGTAGAAGGCTTTCTAGGACTGCCAGCCCCCAAATCACGACTCAGAGACTTTACTATTAGTTATGAATGCTCAGCCTAAAGGCTTGTCTCACTAGCTCTTACAACTTATATTACCTGTTTCTTTTCATCTATGTTTTGCCTGGGGCTTTTTATCTTTCTTTCATTCTGTATGTCTTACTTTGTGTCTATCTGTCTGGTGGCTGCCTGCCTGCCTGCCTGCCTGCCTGCCTGGCCCTGGGCACCTCCCTTTCTTCCTCCTTCATTCTCTTTCCAGCCTAGATTCCTTCTCCTACTTATCCTCTCTGCCTGCCAACCCCGCCTATCCCTCTACTGCCTAGTTATTGGCCATTCAGCTTTTTATTAGATCAATCAGTTGCCTTAGGCAAGCAAGGTGAAACACAATACATCTTTACATAGTTAAATAAACGCAGCACAAACAAAAACAACACACCTTTACACAGTTAGACAAATGCAACACATCTTTACATAGTTAAACAATTATTTTGCAACATAAATGTAACACATCTTAGTTAAACAAATAGTCTATTCCACAACACAGCCCTCCCTCCCTTCTTCAATTTTCTGTTTTTTACTTTTGTGAAACAGGGTTTCATGTAGCCCAGTATGGCCTTGAAAGATGAGCCAGAAGGTCTCCATGCCTCCCAAGAGCTGGGATTTATAAGTATGTATCACCATATCCCAGTTATGGGAATCAAACCCAGAGTTTTGTATATGTTAGGTGAGTACATCAACAACTGAGCTACCCCATGGTCTATCTGCTATTTAAATTTTTAATTTTATTTCTCAAAATTATGTGTATGTGTGTTTGGGTAGATATATGCATGGGAGTACAGGTACCCACTGGGGCTCACCTTTGTGGGTGCTTGGAACTGAAGTTCAGTTATCTGCAAGAGCAATATGTGTGCCTAACCCCTGAGCCATCTCTTCAAGCTCCCATCCCACCTTTTAAATTTTGAGACAGGGTTTTATTAAATTACCCAGGCTGTCCTTGAACTTAATACCCTCCTGCTTCTGTGACTTGGTAGCTGTGATCATATGCCTGCACCAGGTCCTGCAACTGCTATGCATTTTATAAAGGGCGCAACTAAAGCCTAGAAAGGCCTGGGCACTTAAACAACGATTTGCTAACAAAATCAGGGTTCAAATCCGGTTTTCCAGTATTCGCTTGCATGCTATCTGGTCCAAACTTTATGTACATGTGAAGCTCTTGGGGTCCTTAGATACCTAGTCTCTTCCTGAAAACAGAGATTGCCCCCAAACACTGGAACCCAACCACACGCTGCTAGACCCAGCTTGCGAGGGGTTAGAACAAGTACCCTTTCTCCCGACTAGCCTGGCTCTGAAATCCAGCGCACAAGCGTGACATTCTCGCTGTTTGTTTCTGCCCATCCACCACCCAGGCTGGATATGCAAACGTGTGCTTCAAGCAATCACTGCAGGTTGGAGCCACATCTCTGCTGCGACCTTAAGGAAGACTTGTGAGTCTGCAACCCTACAAAGCATCCCGAGCGGGGTTGCGGGTGGGTGCAGGACAGCTCAGCCTCCCTGCCTTCCCCCGATCTTCAAAGAGGGAACCCTTCTGCTGTAGGAACCCTAGATCAGGCAGACGTGGTGCACCCGAGCGCTTTCTCAACTGCACTGAGGCGGAAGCAAGGTGCTGAGGGAGTGCAATGCAGGCTACGCATATCCGGGGCCGACCCCGGGGCTGTTTCCCGGTGCCGGTGGGTAGGTAGGGCAAGCGTGCATTCCCTTAATCAGGTATGCACCGGAGGTGGAAATCGGGATGGGAATGCATGGACGGCAACGTTGCCTTTTGAGGCCAGGCCGGCCCTATCCCTCACAGTCGGGGGATACAGGCTCGGAGAGAGGGCGCCCTTACCTGAGTTGTTGATAATGTCCTTGAGAATTTAGGATGGAGTTCCGGAACTGGGTACAAGTTGCTTCCTTCTTCTGGAGCCCTGTCTTTGAGGCTGTGGTAGTTAGGAAGTCCCAGCAGATGTTAGTTTGGACCTTGCTTAGTTTGCTTGGAAGCATAGGGGACCCACCGATTTTTAAGTTTTCAGATAACTTATTTATGTTAACTTAAGTGCAACACTTAATTTTTCAGCCTTCAAGTTATCCTAATGTCTGGGGTTATGGGTTAAATTAGAGGAAATAAAAATCAGTTTCCAAATAATGGCTGTGCATACAGAATGTCAGAAGCAAAGCTCCCAAGCATGACAATGTCCTGCCATCCATTAGTGAGTTCCTGATGTGTGGTGTACTGTCTGCCAGGCCCTTGACATCCCTTGGTCAAGGTACCAGTCACCACAGAGCTGGTGTTATTTTCCCCACATTACGGATGCTCAAACTGGAAGTCAGAAACAATGACTTACTTGACTGAGCTCACACACACTGGGGTCTGCCATATGCCCTACTCCCAATCCCATACCTTGACTGTTAATAGGGACCACGCTCTACCAATTCAATCTACTTCAACTGAAAAAAACAAACAAACAAACAAAAAAAAAAAACCCACAAAACAACAAAAACCAAGAAATCAAATGGGTGGTTGAGGGTATGAATATAGTTCAGGAATTAGCAGACTAAAAGCACTCTCTCCATGTAATTTTGAGTCTTTCTGCATTCTCCTTTAGGGTAACAACAACATCTGAGAAACAAAAAATGCTTGTGAGCCAGAACCCATGACTGATGCTTCTGTACCCAGTCCAGCCTAGGGATCGCTCCCAGCAATCCCCTCAATGACTGGCATCACAAGGGAGACGTACAAACTTGCAAACCTTTCTCCAAGACATGAAACTCTGGGGACGAATACTTTGGACCCTCCTATGTGGTCCCGGGGGAAGGAGGGGAGCACCCCAGGGCTGGGGCCTCAACTCATGGAAGTCTCATTCATCTCTGCCTGGGATGTTGAGTGCCACAAGGGTGGTCAGACACTGGACACAGGTCTTTGAGGAAAGAGGCATCCCAGAGGCTCAGGAATCCAGTGAGTACATCGTGGCTCATGTTCTTGGAGCCAAAACAGTTAAGTGCCATGCTGGGGAGGATAGGGAGAGGGAGGAGGGAGGACTCTGGAGAACAGATACTGAGGGATTTTTGTTTGTTTGTTTGTCCTGTTTATTTTATTTTATTTGCCTCAGTCAGGGTACTTAGCTGAGACCGCTGGGATTTTGCTGAACAAAGGTTTCAGGCACGTATTTATTCATTCATCTGACAAACTATCATAGTGCATTCTAGCACTATAGGTTCAGGGATGATTAAGTGGCTATGTTGAGTCCATTGTTCACACAAGACACCAAGGGAACCGGCCACTCACATTCTCCATGGGAACAGTTTCAGAGCCTGAAACCAGTACTTTGGACCGAGCCACTGACTCCTAAACAGCTGCAATGCATCCAGGAACTGTGTAGCCGTAGGTTACAGAGGTAAGCTACCATGGACAGTTGTGAGGACTCTTGAATTAGGAGCAGAGAATCATCCTTCCCTAGTCCTAACAAATTATGGTGGGGGGGGGGGGGGTAAAGGGCCTAAGGACTAGAGAGCTGTTGGGGTGAGGAAGTGTCAAGAGAGGGACTGACACAGGAAATTTAAAGAAGGGACAGAGAGTAGGCCTAGACTGTGTCCTGGGGTATTGCAGACAGGACCCTGACTGATGACTTCCTGGATGCCCTTCTCGCAGGATGCCAGTGCAGTATATCCTTGGGGAATGGGACTTTCGGGGGCTCACTCTGAAGATGGTACCTCCAGTGTTCATTCCTCGGCCAGAGACGGAAGTGAGTATATCACTGAGACAGGTCAGGATGGAGATGAGAAAGGGTTCAAGGTACCTGCCTTTCCCCAGACTTCCTCCAGGGGGTGCTGAGGCCCCGTGACTGCCTTTCACAGGGGCAGTGCCCTTCCTTCCTTGTCTTCTCGCTGGCTAGGTTGACTGAGCCGTGACAGAGGACTCTTCTTGCCCTCTCCCTTTGAATCTCTTCATATTCCAAGCCTCTGCCCCACCTCCAAGGACTGGAAGTGACATAACATGCTCCAAGTAGTATTGTCCCAGTGCTCGGCTCATTGTGGTCATTCCTTAGGCGCTATCGCCTAGGCCCATGGCAGACGTAACCCTTGGGAAATCAATGGCCTCCAGCAACTTTAGAGAGCAGGGGAGAAGTAGAGGACTCTAGCTGGACACCTGGAGGCCTAGTATGAGCAGTGTGATTTTATAGGGGCTTGCTACCTACTCTGGGCTCAGATGATGGGAGTGTTGGCTTCTTAGGCCAGGGTATCTATGACTCAGTGGTCTGCTTAAGTCTATTATCTGGTCAGGTGACTGCTTGTGTCAGTCCCTCAAACTATAGAACTGGGGATTATGTGGCCCATGTATCCCTGATCTAGGAAAGGTGTTTCTCTGTCCTTCTTGGACTCCCCCCCCTTGCTTTGTTGACGGCAGAGCTGGGAGCTAGAAAGTGGCCGCTAGCATGAAGTGGGCTGCATAGGGGATGCTGAACAAAATCAGAGGGCACTGCACTCTGGAAAAGATTCCTGGAAAAGATACGTCGGCATATAGCCAGGGTCTTTGAGATGTCTGACCTTCACCCTTTCAATCTCTGTCCCTTGGTCAGAATTCTCTGATCTTTCTGGAGAGATGGCTCAGTGGTTAAGAGCACTGGCTGCTCTTCCAGAGGACCCAGGTTCAATTCCCAGAACCCACACACTGGTTTACAACCACCTGTAACTGCAGTCCCATGGGATCTGACATCCTCTTCTGGCCTCTGTGGATTCTGCATATGGACAGACACTCTGGCAAAATACTATACACATAAAAAAAAAAAATGGATCTGCTGATCACCTGGCATTCCCCATTATCTTGTGGTTGGGAACCTGAATTTCACCTCATTCGCCAAAGTTGAGGCAGAACTGCAGGAAGTCTGAGGCCTTGAGAAGTCACAGAGCTGTCAAGGAAGGGACCCATGGGCTGCACCTGAACTCTCCCAACTCTATCCTGTTTAGTACTGACATAACCTTGGGTGGGGTACAGACACTCAAAAGCAGGATGTGGTCTGTCATCCTCAGGCTTTGGGGGGATTAGCCTGTAGCTGCCTCCCCATATGTGACTTCTGGCCAGGATATCACTTGCCATCCTTGGAGACTGTCAAGGCTCAGAACATAAAAGGGCAGCTATCATGGCGGTTTCTGCTGTGTGCTTTTGGATTCTAGGTCTTGGGTGTGAGCTTTCAGCTCCCGTGTGCCCCACCCGTTCAGTGTGTCTGGGCCAGGAAGGCAGCTTCGAAGCTTGAGGAGGGGAAGAGTGAGGATGCTGTGGTTGAGAGGCCAGGTTTGCCTCACTGTACAGACATTTCTGAGAACTCACCAGGTTTGCCCCAATGTGAAGCCACATCAGGCAGGGTTGCTTTACTGAGAAATCAAGAGGACGTGGCCTGTGGCAGAGTGTGGAGAGATCGGGTGTAGGGGAGGGGTCACAGAGTCCATATTCTTTATCCATCAAAGAGCAATTTTAATGGTGGGTGCGAAAGTCTGAGATGCAAAATTGCAAGTGGCTTGTGGCCTGATGAGCTTGGTTTTGCCTGGGGGGGTGTGTGTGAGAGGGTGGATGAGTCTCCTGTGTGGTAGTTATATACAGTAGGAAACTTAAGGCTGGGGTGTGACCCATTCCATTCTCATCTGGTGTGGTATGACTGTACAGGCTGTGAGAGGCTCAGTGCTGTAATTGTTTTAGGGAGGCAGTACACCTGAGTAGGGTCAGCCCACCAGGGATATAATCCAGCAGAGGATGTTCATGGGACATCCTTCTGAGACCTCAGGGCTACATAAGGGTTGTGCAGTCCCATTTGGAGCAGTGGCTCTAGGTGCCCCTTCCCGGCCTCATATTTCTCTCTTTCTATCACTCCATGTTTTGAATTCTTTCTGGATTCAGTTGGGACAGATGAGCTGGGTCCCTGACAGTGTGACTCAAATCCTTCCCAAAGAGCCAACAGCTTTAGGTAGAGGGAAGGTCTTCACTGCATAGGGAAGAAATTCCTAGACTTCCTGGATGTAGTCTCAACATAGATAGTCCCCAGATGGTCCTACGATGAAGCTGAGCTTTCCGTGGTGTGTGGTAGAAGGGAAGGGAAGAGGCCGCTGGCGGCAGCAGGAACCCAGTCACTCAACCCTGCCCCGGGTAGCCCTGTGCATGGATGGTGTGTGTGTCTGAGGTCAGGGATGCCTCTGTGAGGTGGCTCGCCAGTGTGGGCTGGCTGAGGGGTCATCCTCCAGCCAGAGTGGGATGTTTGTGGCCAGGAAACCCAGAGAAGCTCACACCCCTAGCATAGGCTGTCATCTTGCTGGCCTTTCAGCCTGTTGCCTTTACCGCAGTCTCTCGGTCACAGCCCTGGACTGCAAGCCATTCACCAGTCACAAGCCCAGTGTGCTGCACATTCCAGTGCTCTCTACTCATTTCTGCCTGGCACAGGACTGAACCAGGCTCCCTCGCCTATGGACAGTAGACTTTTAGCGCAGAAGCAGCTCCAAACAGGGAGGGCTGGTCCAACTCTCCAACTCCTGCCTGCTTCGGACTTGTTACCTTTGGTGTGAATGAGCATTGCCATGAGGTTGGGGCCCTAGGAAGACAAAGTGGCTTTGGGACTCAGCAGGACAAACTTAAAAGGTTTAGACGATCTAGTGCTGTTTGCTCCACTGGGCCTGGCTGATGGGTCAGACCCAAGGTCTCCTCCTAATTTAATATGACAAGAGAGGCGAACCCTGTCCTAGATCTTCAAGTCAGGTTGTAGAGATGTAACTGGTCTGCAGAATGAAGATGTTCTAAAGAGACAACTGTATTCCTCAGTCTGTCAGACTGTTGGAAACAGTGGACCCCAAAGAAGTAGGGATTTCCTAAGACTAGTCAGGGGGAGCTTGTCTCCCACAAAGGGATCGATCTCACACAGGTCCTAACAACTTGTCAGACCATCTTAAAGATGAGACTGAAGCCCAGACAATGATGGTCTGTGGTGGGTAGGACCACACCTTGATCCACACTGCTTAGACCTGGGTATCCTTGGCCCACTATTTAATTTTTGATCTCACTTCAGGAATCTGAGATGGACCTGAGGGGTTTTCTGGGTCTCTTTGTCCGCCCCACAGTGTGGCCACATTATATAAGTCTTCTCTTCCCCTCCCTTCCTTTTTCCCTCCCTCCCTCCCTCCCTTCTTTCTTCCTTCCTTTTTTGCTTTCTACTTTTTGTTTGTTTGTTTGTTTGTTTTTTGAGACAAGGTTTCTCTGTGTAGCCCTGGCTGTGCTAGAGCACGCTCTGTAGACCAGGCTGGCCTTGAACTCACAGAGATCGATCTATCTGCCTCTTCCTCCTGTGTTTTGCCACTGCCCAGCTGCTTTCTACTTTTAATTTGGCTCTTTTTATTGGTTTATTGAGAATGGGTGGCCAGGTCTGGTTTGGGGCACAGTTTGGGACCTCCCAAGTCAACAGAAACACTCCACAGGGGCTAAGGAAGGGTTCCTGCGAAGGACCCTCACCTGCTGCTTCCCTTCCAGTTTCCAGAGCCTTGAATAGTCCCTCTGCCTGGATCCGAGGGAGGTTGTCTTTGAGAAGAGACCACATTGCCCTTCCCCTGCTGAATGCTTAGATCTGGTTAGACACATTTCAGCTATGGGCAACAGGAACCCTTCACTCCTGGATCACCCTGTGTTGATTACCATGCACAGCCCCAGTGGCATCTATGGTGGCATCAGTACGCATCACCCCAAACCCTGTCACTTCATGCTGAAAGTGTACTTTTGCTGCAGAAATGGGTACCATCCTGACAGGCTCCTACCACACCTGTGCCACCTGCAAGTATGAGACTTGGGCAGAGGTGTATCCCTGCTCCATTAATGAAGTTGTGTTGGGGACCATCACCATCCTCACTACCTCAGGCCTCTGAGATAGAAAATTACTCTTAAGAAGTAAGCAGAATGTTCAGCAGAGCATTCCTAGATACAGGCATGCAGTTTTACAACCAGTTAAAGAATAGCTCAGGGTAGTCTTCCTGTTGCAGCTTTACAGCCAGTTAAAGAATAGCTTAGGATATTCCTCCTGCTGCAGTTTTACAGCCAGTTAAAGATCAGTTCAGGGCATTCCTCCTACTGACCCTTTCATCCTGCCCACTTGCAAACCCTGCTCACATCCTGCCCATGGTCCTATCTAAGCCTCCCCTGAGAAAATAAAATTTGGCAGCTTGATCAGAATATGGACTTGCTGTCCTTCTTCGTATCCCTTGCCCTTCGATTCCCCGAGGTGTTTCCCACTTTGTCATTGACTGCCCCGCGGGTTGGGGCATAGTTGCTTGTCCCTTTGGCCTGGGAGTCTTCTAGGGAATTCCCAAACTCAGCTCTGTGGGAAAGCTGAGGACACACCAGCCACCCCCGGTTTATTTATTTTACCCCCATGGTACTGGGGGTGAAACCTAGGATCTTACATGCTAGGCATGTACTCTTCCTTTCAACTATATTCCCAGCCCACAGTTCAGGCTCCCAGTAAGGGCCTCAACTCCTGGGTGTTTCTTCATGAGCCAGTGGTGATGATCCAACAAATTAGTACAGGTTCTAGAGTCAGGACCAGAACAGAGGGATTGACTATCAGATAAGGTTCTTGGCATTGCTGTGAGGATAAAAATGGGAAGATGTCTGGAAGGGCATATCTGGGGTTTATTGTGCACATATGCAGCAGATAAGGGATCAGGTATGTGCTTCTGATTAATCTTTATTATGATCCTGAGGGGAGTGCTCTATTTTGCAGACGAGTAAACTGAGGCATGCAGGGACAGACTGACCCACCCCGGGTCCTTGCTGATGTCAAGATCTGTTAGGCTTTGGCAGTCTCCCATCTGCCTTCACTAGGAGCCAGCCGCTAGGGCCTCATTGTTAAGGCTCCCCAGGAGCAAGAATGGCACCCAGTCTGATCCAGACCCTCTGCCTTCCAGGAGCTGGTTGAATGGGTTTTAGAGGAAGTGGTCCAGAGGCCTCCTGCTTTGGTAGCCCAAAGTGGTCCCCTCATTCTGGAGGTGGGCTGTGGATCAGGAGCCATTGCCCTCAGCCTGCTGAGTCAGCTCCCGCAGGTAAGCCCCCTGTGCATCTCTCTACCCTGCCTTTACCTGACATTGAGATAGTCACCCACTGGTCCTACCATTGGCCCTTTCTCCACACCCTCTGCAGAAGCATTGAGGGAAGGTGGCCAGAAAAGGAAGGTGTGCCCAGCGCAGCCTGGTGATCACGTCTGACTTCCATCCCTGTCTGTCTAGCTAGAACCTAACTATAGGAAGTTTTGCTACATATTTCTTTCTCCGGGGAGCTAAGGGAGGGTTCCCAGACAAACATCTCCCAGAGTTCCACCTCTCTTCCTTTGTTCTTGGGGCAGAGTCGAGTCATTGCTGTGGATAAGGAAGAAGCCGCCGTTAGCCTGACTCGTGAGAATGCTCAGAGGTATATGGTCTGGGAGGTCCAGAGAGCCAGCACTGGGGAGTTGGACTTTGGGACTTGACCTTTATTCTAGTATCAAACCTAGTGTATCACTTCCATTCTTGAGGGAGAGGTGCAATGAGGGTCGCCTGGCATTGGTCCCACGGGTTTATGAATGGATGCTCTATGAGCAGTGGTTATGTTGCTGGTGCAAGAAGGGCTCACTTTCCCTCTTGGTCCTTGTAGTCAAGGGTAACAGTTTGCATCCCATGCTCACCATCACCTTCCCATCTCTCCAGGCTTCAGTTGCAGGAAAGGATTCGGATCCTTCCCCTTGATGTAACCTCAGGTACATCTTCTTGGGATGGGTGTCCTGAATAGATGACTTGCTGGTGGGTGAGGTACAGCAGAAATGGGGGAAGGGTTTCCCAGTAACCATACCTGTGGACCAGTGGACCATCTCAGACCAGCCCTTGCTGAGGACAGACAGGGTGCTGTTGTTGGCTGATCTGACCCATGAAGGGACTAGCCACAAGTCTTTTTTGAGGGGAAGGGGGTTGTTGAGACAGGGTTTCTCTGTGGAGCCCTGTCTGTCTGTCTGTCTGTCTGTCTGTCTGTCTATCTATGCTTCCCGAGTGGTGCCAATAAAGGTGTGTGCCACCACTGCCCAGCCACAAGGTCTTTCTTCTGGATCCTCTACAACTGATAAGCTTAACTAGGATTTCTTTACTGGCAAGAGATAAACAGATGTTCAAAGGAATGCAGTTCAGAGCCAGGTAGTGGCCTATACCTGTTATCTTAGCAGTGGGGATGCAGGGGGACTCCTATGAATTCAAGGCCTGTTAGGGGAAACATAGTGAGTTCTCCATGAGCATGGGGTACAAAGTGAAGCATCCCCAAAAACAAAAAACAAAAATCAAACAAAACAGCAACAACAAAGAAAACTTTAGGGCCTGAATGTGTGTGTCTGTGTGTCTGTGTGTGTGGGTGTGTGTGTATGTGTCTGTCTGTCTGTCTCCAGCTGTCCTGGAAGAGATGGTCAGGCCGTGCCAGGCTTGTGGCAGGCTTTGCAGTATATTCAGGTTTCCAGCGCCAGTTCTGATCCTTCTGTTAGCCATGGAGTCCCCGAGCTTTGTGCCAGTGTGACACACCTGGTTTAGCATCTAGTGCAATAGTGACCCAGACTCAACCATAAGGATTGGCTGAGGGTGCCTGTCCTCACAATGCTTTGGGACTACATTGGTTATAAAGCAGAGAGTGGGAAGCCCTTCCTCTGCCTGTGTAATCAGGGAGGGCTTTCTGGAAGTGGCACTTGAATATTGCTTAATGAGGAGGCCTCAACAGGACATGCTAGGTGAAAGGCTACATGTCAGAGCATGTCTACTCCTGGCCAGTCTGCTAAGTGGGGACTCTGGCTACTAATCTTCAAGTCTGGCCAGGTCTAGAGACAGGCCCACAGTATGACCTGGGGAGAGGGGCTACCTGAGGGACAAGGTGGCAGGTAGAGCTACCAACTTTTCCTTCTCAGTTTGTTCTCTGTGTCCTCTTTGCCCACAGAAGGATGCTGGACACACCTTTTGCCCTGGGGCCCTGTGGACTTGGTGGTCAGTAATCCTCCCTACGTCTTCCACAAGGACATGGGACAACTGGCCCCAGAGATCTGCAGGTACGGGGTGGGTGGAATGGCAGAGAAGCCCCAGAGATCTGCAGGTACGGGGTGGGTGGAATGGCAGATCTGCAGGTACGGGGTGGGATTGGCCTGAGCTGGGGACTCCATCTGGAGAAAATGGGAGGGGCCCGGAGGGGACAGCAGTGTTGAGAGGCACACTTTAGAGCCTGCTGCCTTATTGGGACAGTTTTTGCCTTTGCACTTTGACCCCTGGAGACCCCTGGTCTCCCTGAACCTCCGTTTCCTGCTTTGAAAGAGGAGTGGTAGTAATTGAAGGACCATGGGAAGGACTTAGCATTGGGCATAGTGAGACCTAATAGAAGGTACCTGTAGAGGGATGTGCCATTTTACACCAGACCAAGGCTGGGAGAGGGAGGGTGCCCTGTCTAAGGTCCCATGAGGATTTAGTGGGAAAGCCAGCACTGAACCCTCCTCCGGTTTTGGAAAAGCCATCGGCATTTATAAGGACAGGAAATTCAGGGTAACCATGTGTCCCTGCATAAGCACTGGTGACATGGGTGGATGCTGGCTCCTCTTTTCTGGGCTCAAAGAAGTAGTCAGGATCAGGTTTCAAATGTCTTCAGATCAAGAGCTGGAGCAGCTGAGTTCTGAGGGTGACTCATGCCGTCTGTCAGTGGGACTCAGCAAGTCCATCTAGCCCTTCTCTATGAGGGAAGGTAAAACCTGCTATCCATTTAGGAATCATTTGCTAATAGATCCTCAGCTTACCTTTCAGCCCAGAGTCTTACGTCCCAGCGGGCCCTTTGTGAAGGCCTGCCTGGCTACCCCAGGCTCTTACCTGCCACTGTTTCCCCATTCAGTTATGAAGATCTGGTGGCTCTGGATGGTGGTGAGGAAGGCATGGACATCATTACCCACATCTTGACCTTGGCACCCCGGCTCTTGAATGCCTCTGGGTATGGACACCAGCCTCCTCCACTTCCATTGTGTAATTGGCATGCCTTGGCATCATTGTAGGTCTCCTGCAGGCTAGACAACACAAAAGCACAGGGGCTAGCCCTACCTAATTGAGCTGACCCCTCTCTCCCCCATGTAGAAGCATCTTCCTAGAAGTGGACACAAGGCACCCAGAGCTTGTCAGCAGCTGGCTTCAGAGCCGGCCTGACCTGCACCTTAGTCTTGTGGCTGTGCGGAAAGACTTCTGTGGGAGGTGAGGCTACAGTTCCCTTAGCCGTATCACTTCCTTGCTCTCTAGCAGCCCCCATCACTTGTGCATTCCTTAGAGCTTAGATGGTACCCAGATACTCGTCCTGTCTCCCCAGGCCCCGGTTCCTGCATGTCCAGAAGTCTGCACCATAGCGTGGCTACTCTGAGCAGCTGGCCAGGATTCCAGCCTGCTGGGTGCCTGGCTGATGCTGCATGGAGCGCTACCCACAGGGAGGTCCAGGCATGGCCCATGGGTCTAACAAGGATGGAGTATTCTTCCTGGAGCAGCAAAGAACAGAAACTTGAGCTGGGTTTCCAGCTTAGCTCTTTCCCTCAGTGTAGCAGGCTACTTGGTGTTCCTGTTGGTGAAATTGCTGTGAAGATGTTGGGGAATGTGGCCAGTCAAGTACTGAGAGAGCAATAAGCCAGGCAGTGGTGGCTCATGCCTTTAATCCCAGCACTCGGGAAGCAGAGGCAGGCAGATCTCTGTGAGACCAGCCTGGTCTTCAAGTGCTAGTTCCAGAACAGTTTCCAAAGCCACAGAGAAACCCTTTCTCAGGGGGGAAAAAAAAAAAAAAGCAATAAATGGTAAACCAGTGTTTTGTTATCAGTGTGTGTGGGTCCCTGTCCCCATGTAGGATCAAGCCCGAGAGCCCCTCCTACTCCAGCAGGTCAAGCAGACTGTGTGGTGAGGGTGGGGCCCAGTATGGGATAGCACATGAAGACGGATAGGGATATGGGGCCACACAGGATAGCTCATTCTTTTGGTTAACATCATCCACCTCTAGCCTGGATATCCCTACATACCTTCCCTTGACTGGGCCTAGGCTGAGCATGGGGGCCATCTCTGAGACGGGAGTTGAGGGTCTTTGACATGTGTTATGGTGGAAGCTTCACTCCAGCCCCTGGCATCCGTACACCCAGAGAGTCTGGAATGTTATGGTGGAGATTCCACCTCCCCCATCTCCCTCCAAACCCTATTGCATCTCAGAAAGCCTGCCAAACGATGATCCCTCCCCCAGAGATGCTCAAGACCATTTCCACAGGGTATTTATACTGCCCCCAGAAAATAGACTTGTGGTTTAACAGTCTCTCTGTCCTGCTTCCTCTGGTGGGGGGGGGGGCGCTGAAAGGCCATCCGGGAGCATCAAATGTGAGATTGACGTAGTTTGATTTGGTCTGATTTGGGTTGCTGTAACAGCAGAGAGGCTTATCGGAGTATAGAAACTTTTCAGCATGATCCTGGGATTACATGCCCACATTCAGGTAAGTGAAGGTATGAGACAGTAGGGTAGGAAAACAACCACAGGACTTGTGTTTGCTTTTATTGACCGCCTTTCCAAGTGTGGAAATTCAAATCTGGAGTCCAAATAACCCTGGTTGGTGCACCCAACCACGCCTGAGCACTGAACTGTGACCTTCACCCCAGCCCTGGGCAGAGTCACAGCCACCAGGAGGCCTAAAAACCAGCCTACTGTCCCAGCAACAGGAAGCTGCTCAGTGGTGTGGTGAGTGATCACACGACTGCATCTGGATAGTTCTTCATGTGTGTTGAAGACTAAGCACATTCATTCTACCTGACTCTCCCCAGCATTTGCAAGGGCCTGACCTAAGTCACAACAGCCAGAGGCAGTGTGCTCTGGTAGGCAGCAGCTCCACCAGGGCCAAGACAGCTGAGTTCCAGGTCCTGTCTTGGAGTTGGACCTCAGTCATCTCCTTTCTCTATGAGCTGAGGACTCTTCTGGGTCCAGGAGCAGTACAGAAAATAGCTTCATTCTATCCTAGTCCCGATCAGCAAAGTAGAACATGCAGGCTGGCGTGTAAATGCCCACGGTCCAGGCAGGAGGGTGCTTAGAGAAGGCCTCTGAAATCCCATGATACAAGACAGCTAGGTTGAGAACAGAAGTCAGGCGCTCGCCTTCTAGGAGTCTGTATTTCTGGAGTTACACCCTGTGTAAGTGATGTCTGCTGCTGTGGTTAAAGGGTATATTTGTGTTGGCAGAGACCATACTGCAGGGCTCAGAGCCCCAGCATCTGGTCCCGGTGACTTACCCTCAAGCTGTCTCTGGCTTCCTTTGAAGGAGGGAGCCTGGGCTTTCCCTCACGACTGTTCCAGAAAGAACCTGGGAGGGTAACATTGGGTACAAGCGGAGCAAGGTCCCTCACTTCCTGTGCCACATGTCCCTCGCTTGCCAAAGCCGGTGTGAATGTTGTCTTCTTTCTCTTGCCTTTGCCCTTTGGCTCTGGCTGTCTTCAGGCATCAGGCTGCCCTGACCTCGCAGCCTTCTGTTGCCCTCCTGTCTCCCAGCTTGGGTTATACTCAGTGCTGAGCTCCCTGACGGTTTTGCTTCCTGGCCGGAGGCCTGTTTCTGAGGTAAGGCCTTGGAGAGCCTGCGGGTATGGCACCCAAGAGAGTACAGTGGTGGAGAATGACGGTGGAGGGCCAGTTGGGGTCATTGGAGCAAGAGCCACCCTTGGGACAACTTCCTTCCCAGAAAAATGTGGGGCTTGACTCCACTGGGATAAAAGTTCAAGCCAAGTAGAGTGGCAAGGCAGGGCCTCCAGACTACAGCTACTGGCTTAATTGGGCTAGACACTGAGTTGCCATGCTGGAGCCTTATCAACCCAGGTTCTAGAGTTTGCCCCTTACCAGGATGTGACCTTGGGCAGATGACTTCACCTTATTTAGCTTTGGCCTCTAAACCTTGAGAAACAGGGCCAAAGTACTTTACCACAAGGATGGTTGTGAGACTTTCTTGGTACATTGTAGGTGTTTCTGTGGCCTTGAGGACAGACGGGGAAAGTCGTGCACCTGCCTCACAAACATGAGGCAGGCAGAGAGATGGCAGTCAGCAGAGGAAAGATGGCAGGAGTTCAGTCTTGGAGATGAAGCCACCAGGAGCAGCCTCCTCCAACCCTCACTGAATCTCTCTACCAGGACTTGAGTACCCAAGGCCCAAGCCATGGCAGCCAGGGGCTCCATTCTGGAAAGGCTAAGCTCTCATGCCCTGTTTCCCTCTTTCTCTTGATGCTAGTGCCAGAAGCTTGGCACAAGTTAAGAAGTCCCCTGGGGAGAGTGCAGGAGGATGTGGTGCAAACGGTGTCACCCAGGCTCCTGCAGGTTCTACAGGCCCTGAGGTCTTGAGGCCAGACTGGGAGAGCAGTCTGTCCCCTCCAGCAGGTGGAGAAACTAAGGTCTTGCCTCACAGTTGGATGCTTCTTGCACCTTCCTATGGGTTATTAGGTTCCATGCGGCTTATTAAAATGTGTCCCCAGATGTAAGAAATATACCCTTCTCTGCACACCCACTTCCATGGACCCTGGACATCTGTTCTATTCTAAACCTTGACTGTATTCCCAGGACCTAAGTGTGGTCCCTGTGTCCTGCAGAGTGCTGTCTGAAGGTGGGGGAGGACAGCTCTGAGAAAGGCTCCAGGATATCCCTCCCTCGCCCCATAAGTAAGCTTCTGTCAGGGTAAAGGGTTTCACCACTGATGGGGCTGAGAACTGCTGGGCTGAAGTGGAAAGCCCTTAAATCTCTGCAGGCAGGCCTGTCCATCTTTCCCTATCCACCTTCAGATCCTTTACTGCCCTGTACCTCAGCTACCCTGCGGTACCCTTCCCTGAACACCCTCCTCTTGTCCCATCTGAAGTGCCCTTGCCCGTCACTGCCAATCCATGTCATACCTGCTAAATTGTAACAGACCTGCCTTGACTTTGTGTTCTAGCCTTCCCCTACCCACATCTCCGGCCCCTAAATCCAGAAACGTTCTAGTCTCGTTCTGGGAACCCCTGTGAAACTGGCACATTCAGGTTTAGTAAATGTCCACCAATAAACTGGCCCCATATCCATTTTCTAGACTTGAGACTAGAGCTTCCTGAGTGGCCCACATCTGACTAGCACTCACATATTCCAGTCAGTAGGGAGAGGAAACCATGGGGTCTGGCTTCCTGCCCGAGCCAGGCAGCTGTTCAAGTTGAGCCATAATCTCTTTGAGGGCTCCAGTGCACCTGATCCCCACCCCACAGCATGCCAGGAGAACAGGCTGTTCTTGGCGGCGGCAGGAGCAGATGCCAGGCTTCCTGGAGCTCTAGGCCTTAAAGCAGCCCCCAGTCAAGGTGGTAGCTGTAATGGTGGCCTGATCTCTCTTTACGAACTCTGCCCTGAACAAGAGCCTGGGTTTGAGACAAAGCAACCCTATAGGCAATAGAATAGTAATTAAAGACACCTGTGTCCTTGTCCCCCAACCCATGACTATCATATGGCACAGAGGACTTTGCAGATATGAAGGGGTGTGTGTGTGTGTGTGTACATGTATGTGGCATGAATGTTTTCACATGAGCATGCAGATGTTGAGTGTACATACATGCATGCATGATGGGGGCAAAGACTTCAGTCACCACCTTACATTTGAGACAGGGCATTTCACTGACCTGGACCTCACAGATTACACAGCCCCAGGGCTCCTGCATGCATCCTCCCAAAGCTGGGGTTACAGATGTGTGAAGCCATGCCTAGCTTCAGCATAGATGCTGGGGATCCTAACTGAGGGAGGCCTACAAGTTTGTGCAGCAGGCCAGTTTACCAATGGATCCTTCTTCCCAGACTTGTGACTATAGATCTATTTTTGTTGTTGTTGGGTTGTTTGTTGTTGTTGTTTTGGCTTTTTTGTTTTTGAGATAGGGTTTCTCTGTGTAACCTGTCATGGAACTAGCACTATAGAGATCATAGAGATCCACCTGCCTCTGCCTCCCGAGTGATGGGATTAAACTGCCCTACAGTTACTGAAGATCTTGAGAAGGAAAAGTTGTCCTAAGTTGTTCAGGTAAACACAGTATGATCACAGGTGACTATAGGAAGGGGACAGGGGTGTCAAAAGTGAGAGGAAGCAGAGGTCAGTGTGGTGTAATTGCAGGAGGATGGAGCCATGAGCCAAGGAATGCCAGCAGTTTCTTCACGGAGCCTTGGGAAAGAATGCAACCCCGCCCACATCTTCATTTGAGAACAGTGGGATTAATTTTGGATTTCTAACCTCTAGAATTATACACTGCAGTAGTGTGTATTAAGTTACAAAGTCTGTGGTAATGTTTCACAGCAACTCTAGGAAACTAATATAGACCTTAATGCTCCATGGAGTTTGGGTTAGTCACTTTTTTCTTTTTTTTAAATGTTTTTATTGTGTGTGTGTGTGTGTGTGTGTTTGTGTGTGTGTGTGTGTGTCCATCCATGCCACGGCATGCTAGTGGATGTCAGAAGAAAACTTATAGGAGTTGGTTTCTACTATGTGTGTCCTGGGGATTCAACTTTGTTCTTCAGGCTTAGCCTTAAGTACCTTTACCCAGAGTTACCCTGGTTGGCCTGTCCCTTTATTTATATTCTTGTGACAAAATCTCTTACAAGGAGGAAAGATTAGTTTGCCTC